GCAGTGGTTCCCAATTAGTTTTTCCTGCGTACCACTTCAAGAAAGAGCTCAAACTCGCGTACCCCTTATAGCAGAAATTCATATTAATCCATACTAATATTATAAATTCGAAGGTATTGCTGGCTGTCTGTCACCTTTTCACATCTAAACCGCTGAACAGGTTTTAATAAAATTTGGCACAGAGATAGCTTACACGTTGGAGATGGACATAGGCTACATTTTACTGCGAGAAAATATCTTACTCCCACGAGAAAATTCGATATAATGCGGGCGAAGCCGTGGGTAGACAGCAAGTGATAAATAGAATGTTTTTTTTTTTACATTTATTACCTTTGAAATACAATTCTAATACAGTAATAATGAAAATAACATAAGGTTATTTAATTTTAACGTGACAAATGTGCACGATTTTCTTTGCACAACTTTGTAAAATCTGGTTGCTTTTTGGTCAGCTTCAGTCTCGAGTCATCTTCGAGTTGAAGTCGGTGACGATGTTTAGTTTTCTTGTTTGTCATGGCGAAAATCCGCTCCCGCAGAGGTATGTTGTGAAAAATGGTAGTAAATATTTTATTGCTGCTTCACTGACATGATGATAATGAAAATTGTCACAAATGCATTTTTTAACAATGAAATTTCGAGAATGTTTTTAGTTATAAATAAACGAATTTGTGCATTCCACATCGTGTTGTAAATTGCCGAATTTTTGATGGTCCATTATTTTTTTTTTGATTGTTTCATCTCATGCATTTAAATTTTAAGTCGGCCGATTTTAGATTGCCGCGCGTACCCCTTCATGCAATTTCGCGTACCCCCGGGGGTACGCGAACCACTAATTGGGAACCACTGATCTAGACCTACTAATTCGATTATCTTTTTCTTTCGAAAGGTGGAACTACAGATGTTAAAAACATATGACAAGTTACTATCAGATGTAATTAAATGGAACGGGTAAAGCTAATAATTTTACAACATTCGCCTTAACTTATCCGAGATTTTTTTAATTCAAAAGTGTAAATAAAATTCTAGGTTTTAAACTAAATAGATGAATTATCTATATATATAAAAATGAATGTGTGTGTGTGTGTGTGTGTGTGTGTGTGTGTGTCCTTTATGCATTACCACACCGTTTATCCGATTGCCGTAAAACATTGGGAAGTTGTTTAATATACTCCGGCGAAGGTTTGTGGCATAGTACGATTGCCATAAAACTTTTGGAAAGTTTTTTAATTCACTCCCACGAAGTACATTTATCCTACGATAGATGGCGCGCGTTTACACGAGCATTCGCGCGCAGTGTGTTAGATCGATTTCAAATTGTGAAGACCATTTCCCCCTTCAAAAAATATTTCTATATATGCATTTGTAAACTGCTATTTACGATATTTGTAATAATTTTTGTTTAATCACTTTATTTCAACTTTTTTTTGCTAATTATGTATTCGCTCGAACTTTGTTAAAACCTTAACCGTATTCCGAACAACAACCGAAGTCGTAGGAGGAAATTCGCCTATTTTACCGATCTAGGATCCCCTTTCCCAAATTTTAATATCGACTCAAAATAATTTAAAAACACAAATTACAATAAAACGGTTTATTATCCAACTATCAGAAATTTCACAACATGCCAAGGAAGAGAGGAAGGAGCAATTAAATAATCAAAATTATAAAGGATTTAAAAAAAATATATAAAAATGAGGAATATCGCACTTCTAACAATCTCTGTGTGTATGTGGGCTAAATTTAAAGAATCCGTGCTTCTCACATGTACAGTACAACTGTATGTGGCCTGTTCACGCGTCGGAAAAACTTCTGATTTATTCGTGTACGCATCAGACAGAAAAACAAAAAATATCGTGTATCCACAAGCACTCCAATAAATAAATAGAATTGAAACGACACTTTGAAATATTTTCCCAATTAAAATGAATAATAATAATAATATAATACTAAGTTTCAATAAAAATGATAAAATGTAAATTTAATTTTATCATAACGAAACTTGAATTTCAAGTTTCGTTTCTTCTGAGATCGCAGCAATGCGCGACAGGTAAGCTAGCAACTTATAAAATTTTTGAAATGTACATTTACTTTTCACATCCATCAGAGTATAAAAAATAATTTTTTCTTTGTTTTAACTAAATGAAATTTAACAAAATTAAAAATAGCACTTCACACATTTTCAATCCAATTTTCCAGAAATTAGTAATTATTCGAGAATTCTTTTTCTACAAAATAATAAATCATCGCTCTGGTTTACTTGTTTAGATATTTGATGTTTGTGTCAATTAAAGCCGCATCTTTTGTTAAAATTGAGTAAATTTCGTTTTTAATGTCATTTTTATGACGTGTATTATAAAAGTTTTAAGCGCACTTTCGAAATTTAAACGTTCTTTAAATAATCCTAAATCTAATTTTAATACATACGTACATTATTATCGTTTTAAATATTTAATTTAAAATATAAATTGAGATGTATTTAAATTCGAATATAGAACATTTTCATAACAGTTGAGATATTTTTAATTATTGTAGGCTAAGAAAAATGTATTGAAAATAAAATAAATATATCTATATACAGTATATATATTTTATTGTTTTGTTAATTTTTTGCGAATAGCGGTGCTACGTGTAAATCAGCAAGTACATTGTAGATAGAAATTAATTGATTTATAGAAATTCAGTAGATATTTTTGGGTTGTGATTTACGATATTATCTAAGTACGTAAATGTGAAATGCAGATTTTCGTAGCCATTGGTCGAACGGTCTAGAAATGTAAAACGAACAAACAAACAAAAAAACATCTTTTTACATATATATACAATATATAGAAGATGTAACGAAATATAATTTTTCTGAATATTTTTACATTTACCATCTCTGGTTACATCGTAACGACACATACAGTGTTATCCACAGATGGCGAATATCAATTTTTTCGAATGCGAATATTAACCGGTTTCAAATATTCGAATGCTTAGTAAACTTAATTAGTGACCTTATATAACTTAATTTATTAATATAACGAAATAAACAAAAACCTTAAATAGTATTTAAGCCAATTAAGTAGAATTGTTAAATAAACGGTACTACATTATTAGACAATTGACTAAATTCTAAGAAATGAACATTGTATTTTGACGTTGAGTTATATATTACAATGCCTTCTTTTTAGGTACAGTAGAGCATCGATTATCCGACTCAAATGGGGACTCGGGTTGGTCGAATAACTGAAAAAATCGGATAACCGAAAAGAATGAAAAAATACATTATTAGTATAGTATATTAGTATAGTAGTTAGTAATGCTTCTTTTCTTTACGAAAAGAAGCATTCGAACACTTTCCTAATTTAATCTACTTCTTTTCTTGTAAAATATTGATAGAATATTATAGCGGCTCTTCGGATACTTCACCGGATGTGGCGCTATCTTTACGTGTGACCCAATATTGAAGTCTTGGTCTGAAGTCGAATTTATGTTTTAACGTTATAATCGAGTATTCGCCGGTAGTATTCGCCCATCTCTAATTGTAATTATAAATAACTAGTAGAAAACTTTTGTCAAACCCCAAAAATAAATTAGGTTTTACTTTATATTGTGTAGCTACAGCTTCAGCTTCTTTCCATAATGCGGCTTTCTATATTGTGGCTTAGATAATATGCGGTTCAACAATAATTATTGTGTTAAACAAGAGATGGGAGAACACTCGAATACTTTAAACAATTCGATATTCGATATTTCAAATATTATATTGATAAAAAATAAATTTCAATACTACGAATACTTCCAATTTCGCTCCATACGTACAGTCTCAGTGGCGGATCCAGAAGTACCCAAAGAGGGAACAAAGTCAAAGCTTTTAAATATTTGATTAATTAATTAGGGCCTTTTATTAACACGTGTACGACGTATTAAGGACGGTCCGATAAACTAATGCAAAAAATGTTTTTTAAAAACAACGTCTTGAAGTTCGAACAAATTTTATTTTATTCTCCTTTTTTTGGTCTATGGTATCCACCACTGTGTAGAGACAGAATCTCTTCAGCATTTTAATTTAATTTGTGACAAGAAAAAAAGCGGACTAGATCCCGAACGTTTCCGAATTCTTACTTTCTTAAGTAAAAATGAAATGATTAAAATTTATCAAGNGAATACTTCCAATTTCGCTCCATACGTGCAGTCTCAGTGGCGGATCCAGAAGTACCCAAAGAGGGAACAAAGTCAAAGCTTTTAAATATTTGATTAATTAATGAGGGTCTTTTATTAACACGTGTACGACGTATTAAGGACGGTCCGATAAACTGATGCAAAAAATGTTTTTTAAAAGCAATGTTTTGAAGTTCGAACAAATTTTATTTTATTCTCCTTTTTTTGGTCTATGGTATCCACCACTGTGTAGTAACAGAATCTCTTCAGCATTCTAATTTAATTTGTGACAAGAAAAAAAGCGGACTAGATCCCGAACGTTTTCGAATTCTTATTTTCTTAAGTAAAAATGAAATGATTAAAATTTATCAAGATAACTATAAAATATAATAATGAAATATATTTTTCATATATCTTTTTGAATATGTAACTATACTGTAAACCAGTAACTCTCAGCCATTTTACTGATCGCAAACCGCTAAAAGTATGAATAATTTTATGTGAACCGGTAATTATAAGCTACTATCAATTATGCTTATTTATTACTCTTATGTAGGCCTATGCTTATCCAGAGTTACTGTACGAACTTGGTTACTACTTTAGATTACTACTTAAATGTTATCTGAAATCAACTGCGCCAGCTTCAGTACGATAAAAATATTTTACGGCGAAATTTTTTCGCGTACAAGCGATTGGGGAAACACTGCTCTAAACAATATATTTTTTTAGTTAATAAATTCAATTTCTCGAGAGTACTTGAGAAATCGCGCTTTAAATTTCTTTTCTCCAGAAACGAAACGTATCGATACAACAGAATCACTAATTAAAAATTACTTTACAGTAAATAATATTTATTTAAGCACTATTAATTAAGCGTGAGAAAATGAAAAACTCATCGAATACAAAAATATATAATTTCTGTATTTTTTGTTTATTTATTCTTTCTCGATTACTCTAATTGATTCATGGTGCTTAGGCAACTGCACTGTTTATTAAACTGCCATTAATAATATAAATTACAAATTTCAAGTATCATATCTATGTATTCCCATACAGGTTCTTCCGTCTTACAATGTTCTCTGTAGTGTTTGGACTGTTACTGATAGTTGCGGTCAAATGTCAAGATGTTGATGACCCAGACTATTACACAGCTGCTGTATACGAACACGTGGGGAAAGGTAATTACAAAACAGATCCGATTAAAGAATACATTGAAAAAAATTTGGCCGCTTATGAAAGAGCTGCAACGACAGCTGGTCAACACGTAAGTGCAATCAAAATGTGATAATTACTTTTTTTTGTTTGATACTTAAAGCACACTGAATTCCAGAATGTCGACTTGCTGGCTTTTCCTGAGTATGGACTCTTCTCATCCACGAAACGAGAAGTTATAATTGACGATGCCCAATACGTTCCCGATCCGAAAATTGAACAATGGAATCCTTGTTTGGAACCCGACAGATACAACAATTCATATATTTTAGAAAAGTTAAGTTGCATGGCTAAGCAAAATAACTTGGTTATTTTGGCTAATATTCTGTCGAAAGTACCTTGCGACAATTCTACTGATTGTCCAGACGATAAATTCTATTTTTACAACACCAATGTAGCCTTCAATAGAAGTGGTTTAATAATAGCACGATATAGCAAAACTCATTTGTATTTAGAAGATGGCCTTAACGTCCTTCCAAAACCCGAATTTATTGTATTTAATACTGATTTTGCTTTAATCGGTACTTTTATTTGCTTCGATATTGTATGGAAAGAATCAGTTCAAATGGTTGAAAAATATAAACCTGATGCTGTTATATTTTCCTATCTATGGTTCGAATTCTTTCTACCAGGAATGAGCGATATTCAGATGCAACAATCTTGGGGAATCACAAACAACGTAACCATTATAACAGCTAACAGGCAACATCCACAATATGGATCTTTAGGAAGCGGAATGTTTTTTGGAGATACTGGAATCGGCAATTACGTTTATATCGCAGATGGTCAATCCAGACTACTGATCTCTAAAGTTCCAAAAAGAGGTGTTACACCACCTCAAGAATTTCCGCCTCCAACCATTATTGAATTTGGTGATTTTGAATCACGAAAATCTGAAAATAATATATCTTCTGGAGTATGTTCTAGGAAAATACTAGGACCCCCATCAAACAATAACGACTTCAGATGCATTGATTACGACCTCAGCAACTTTACGTTAGTTAAAGTGAATGCGGAAAATCACTTGGAAGCTTGTAATAATGGACTTTGCTGTAGTGCTAGTTATAAAGTACAGTTATCGGACGAAGACTATTATCTGGCAGTTTTCAATGGAACTTATACAACTTCCGAAAGATATACATGGTGGATAGAAGCCTGTCTTTTTGTGCGCTGCGATTCCTTTGAAGGGAAGGAGTGTTCCACCTTTCCTACAATAGCTAGCACTGTCTTTGAAGAGCTTAAAATCGAAGCTAATTTCACCACTCCATATGTCTATCCCAGCATTTCTATTAGCGGCCTACAACTAGCCCCCAAACAGAACTGGGTTTACAACGAACATGGATTATATTTCAAAACAGAATCTGACAGCCTCTTACTTGCTACTTTACACGGGAGATCTTACGATAGAGATCCGGAATAATTTTCTAAGTTTTATTATGTGTTACTTTTATATATATATATAATTTAGAAATATTTTTTACTGTTGTTTTATTATTTTGTGTTAAATGCAAAACTAAAAATTAATTTGCAATTACAATAAAGTTCTGTTGTGAAATTTTAAAATAGAATCATTACTGGAGGAGGGAACTGATCAAAAATAGAGATTCTACACTAGAGTGCTGCAACAACGAACTTTTGTTAAATCTACTTTGAAAGAGAAAGAAAAAAGTAGAAAGTGTAATTTGCATTACAGTTAACAGGATTATCTTACGTCCTCTTTAAAATAAAATTGATTAAGTTAGAGAAGAATCAATATTAAGCAACACAGGAGAAAATTAGAATGAAGTCATCTGTATTCTAGCTAACTTCTCTGGTAAAATTAACTAGAATGCATATCACTTCATTAGAATGTAAGTTAGATTCAGCAGACTACATAAATAATGAGAAACAGCATCACTACTTATATTTGTCCAATATAATTATAAATGATAATATACTTTATACAGATCGTGTGCAAAACTTGCTCTAGACTCTCTTTTTTCTCAGCAGTCAATGGACTGGGTTCTAGCAAATCAAAATAAGAAAATTCATTCTTTTACGTTGATATTCCTATCTTTGTTTATTATTTCATTTATACTTTTAAAAAGAAAAGCAAACTAAAGACAGTCTTTCCTTCAGGAAACAGTCTCTTAACTATTTTTTTTTTTACAGTTGTTATCATTTGTATTATGAAGTAACAATTTCGAAGCTGTGCTATTTCCTGTCATCACTCATTTCAATTGTCTCCTATGGGATATAACTTGAATTTTGACATCGAAATAACATTGACATTTAAGAAAATCTTGTGTCAATGACCTTTAAACAGCTATGCTTTGCCATATTAATTTAAAAAAGCATCTCATAAAAAATTAATACAGTATAAACTCGGACAAGATTAGGTTATTTAAGGTACACAAAATGATTTTGCTATTTAGAAAGAATATTTTCAATTTTATTCTTAATTTGAAAAAAGGAGCGAAGAAAGCCAGACGGTCGTCTGTACATTCAAATCATTAGTGCTCAGACTGTATCTTAATACTTTTGTGGAAAAGAAACTGATGGAAACTAGATAATAAACTCGTTAAATTTTTCTAACCGGCTATGGAATGAAAATTTTAATGCCGATAAGTTCACAAAATATATTTTGATCGCAACCAGTGCATTATCTCTGGACATAATGCTGAATTTAGAATCAGAAAATCGATCAATTAGTACAAAGCCTGCTTCACTTTTAATGCTGATTAAATAACTAATTACAAGTATTAGCTAATAATTAATCCTTTAAGTGTTAATTAAGTACCTAATTAGTTTAAATCTTGTGAAATTATATCAGAATTCCTTTCTTTCATTAAATTTATACGTATAATATTTGTTCTGAGTATATTTTAAATTCAAATCCTATCACTGATTGCCAATTATTTACACTCACATCTTTTAACGATGTTGATATTAATGACAAATAAAAGGGGCGCAAAAATTTCCTATCAGCTTAGCAATTCTTCACTATTGTTCAGCACTTTTGTTAGATACACAATTCGGAGACGTGACTAAATAAGTAATGAGAAGCTTAGAATCAAATTTCGTTTTAAAAAAGAAAAAAACATTCTGAATGAAAGCCTTTCAGAAATTGTAAAATCAATATTCTGAACTGACCACGAATTTTAACAAGTTGCTCTATTCAAATTGCCAATTTCGTGTGCAGATAGCGAAATGTTAAATTTTTTTTTTATTTCAACTTTTAGATTGTTCTTACAAATATAAAAGATCGAATATATAATCAATAGTGCCTATTATTATAAAACAAACGTTGCGATAAGAATAAAAACTATTAGAAATTCCCACGAAGCATTAATTATACTTTACAATAAATAAACTACGTATTAAATTACAAAATCGCTGCAGGAATATTCAAACTTCTTTTCAAGAAATGTTTCTTGTCATTAATTAGAACAAAACCTCTTTCATTCTCCAGAAAAATTTAAGAAGATATCTTAATCATACTTTTTTCATTAAGTATTGTACATAATTCAATACATCTAACGACTGAAAAACATTGGTTGAGACGATACACGTATCGAACATGTAACTATATTATTAAAAGTAAAACAATTTCTTGAAGGCATATTGCAAATATAAAGAATGTAAACGAACCTGTAAATATATAAACCAAAGATCAACGAACGGATATTTTAATTACTATGTACTGAATTTTTTCTTCTTCCAGCCGATTCAATGTGTGATAACATCAAGATATTACTTTAAAGAATGCAAAAAAATATGTAATAAGAATAAAAATTATTTTTTTCTTTTCCACTCTAATATTTTATAGTTGAAATATAATAATTGATATGCGTTTTTATTAAATTGAGAGGATTGTATAGCTTAATATGTAATGTTTATCGTTTATAGTTAATATGCCTACATCTAATTGTTAAACATAGCTTTAGGCAGTTTCAAATCTATTATAGACTTATTAGATAAACATTAGTCATCGATAAATTAGAGAAATTTAAGCTAACGAGTCGTTTAACAACTTATGTTATAATTTCGGTATATTTCTTAAACACAGATATAAATTGTTTATATTAAGAGAAAGATTATACATTCTACAACTTACAATGAAGTTACTAAATATCGCTGAAATGCGCTGCGGTATGTATTCCATGTGCCAGATATTCCTTTAGATAGTTATGAATTTCAAAGCACAAATTAATGATAAAAATTTGACAATGTGCCAATTCCCAAAGGGAAAATACTACTACCATATTTTTTCCAAGTACATGCAAATGCAATTTTATTTCATATAATATTTCCATATAATTTTATTGAATCGAATACAAAAATGAAGTATTAAATACGCTGCATTTTTACGTAACTGAAAGGAACTTTAGGTATTCGCGCCATTAATTTTCCTATAAAAAGAACTACTTGTGCGAGTAATTTCTCTCTCCTTTTTTTTACATTTTTTTATTTTACAAAGTTGTTTCGTGACCTACTGCGAATAAACTCCCGTAAAGGCGGAACAGGTCGCTGAACTCAATCGCAGGAAGGTCACTCCTCGTGACTCACCTGCACTAAACAACGTCCCGCTTCCAAGGAAATGGTGATCGGGGTGACTAGTGACGTTACGTTCATGCCTGTCGTCATCACCAGCTGTGAACGTGTCACGAAGAATACGTCCAAAAGCGTAGTTCAATTTTCGAAGAACTGTTATTTTTTAAAATATTATCTTCAGGGTCATTCGTGCTTGTATTCTTTCTAGTTACCTTTCTCTCCTCTAATCTTTTTTTAGTTTGTTTTCTTTTTATTTTGCTTTCCAGTTACAGAATCCCTAAGGCTATAATCCTAACTTTAAATTCGCTAGCACATCAAATCACGATTCAATAAATGCATTTATAAAGCACCTCGATAGAAAATAATGTTTTTAACAATAATCTTCCACTTTTCTATAGATTTTGGTAAAATGATATTTTAAAAGAATTTGTAATTTTATGCGCAGAATTTTTTTATTCGTGCTTTTTAACTTGATTATATTGTTTAATTCACGAAACAATGTATATGTCTATCCGTTTCAGTTAAGGCGCCATTGACGTGTGAAAAGTATGACGTGACCCATCATGTTCGTCGGTTTTGATCCCATACAAGCTACAGTAAGCTCATATCGATTCATTTATCAATTACACATTGAAAATTATTGAATTTTCCTTCTTTCTCTTAAATCGATAAAAATGAGAAACTGTTAGACTCCCTACCTCCTTTTACTGACTCATCGTCCCCAAATTCAATACTGCACAAACCATAGTTGTATCACCGAATGAAATATTATAGATTTTTTCTCCTGTGTTGCTACATTCTAAAATACAATTTTAACAACAGAAAAAGAAAAATTACCTTAATGTTTGAAACATCCCGCTTCTCCCTTCCGTCCAGGGTGTGAATTTTAGGATGGATGACATAATGTTTGTGGAATTCCGACCGGACATCTGCAAAAAAAAAGAAAAACCATTCATTAGTCACAACTATATGCATTGGTGCGGAATATGTTAGAGACAAAAGCATTATCTAGGTCTACTGCAAATGCACTAAACTTTGCTGTTCTCTTATCTGTTTTGCGATAATAATAATAATAAAACTTCAAAAATAAAAAATGCTTACAATGCAAAAATAGGTTATTCATTGATAAAATCATTTTGTTAGCTCAAGCATCAGCTATTCATAGTATATGTGATTTTGTATCTTCCTGATTTAACTTAAAAGTTTTTATCCTTACCTTCGCCTGTTTCTTACTTATTCTATCCACTTTATAATCCTTATTGAATGGGGAAACAACCATATCACTTTCAGTTAAGTGATCTTCAGTAGTCTATAACTTTATTCATAAATTTCCTTGGAACATTTAATCACTTCGTCTCATAAAACACTTTCTACTTTTCTTTGTAAAAACTTATAAATTTTTATAAGCTGCCGTAATTTTCATATTTATAGAGTTTTGAATAACATGAACGAATATTTCGTACAGCATTGTAATATTTTAAATTTCAAAGTAACTATAAAATATTTATAAAAGATACTTAAAGTTCAAAGTGCTTCTAAAAGCAGAGGGAATAAAATTAATTATAAAAGCTGAATTAAAAATAAAATTTTTGGATTTCAATGAAATTATTACATTGGTAATTGCTATTACTACAAGGAAAACAGGATATTTGTAAGAATACTTCACAAATATCCTGTTTTTCCATGAGGAACGATGAGAAAATTTATAATGCAACCATTAAAAAATCATTTCCGTGCAAATTATTTGGCATTTTGTTATTGGAATGAAACAAAATATGATTAAAAATCAATTTATTTATTACAACAATTTTCGTAATACATTTCTAAAATTCTTTTTCCGTCAAAATAGAATGTAAACCTATGGCTGACCCAGACGTGTTTTTATTTGTAAGATCTCTCTCTTTACTACAGTCGACCGAACACAAAAAAGAAAAAAAACCATTTATTTATAAGTAATACTCGCAGAACACACATTACTTTTGTAACAAATATCATCTGTTTCGTTTTCTTAAATAAGAACACCCAGCTGGCCAATGTCAGACAATCGATATTAAGTCAAGATATAGGCTAGGTAATTCCACTGGATACTCGAGACCAAGAGTATTGACCAGTTGTAAAGTATAGGCTTTCAAGAAAAAAAAATAATAAAACTCAAAATGTTATTTTGACAGATGAATCCTATATTCTACGTACATTTTTCTTTAACCCACAAGAGTACTACGATTTAAGCTACTTTCGCGATAAAAATTAGATCTTATCGGCAACAACATAGAGGTAAGTCTTAACTCCAGGCGGAGTATCAGAAGTAGAAGAGAATGACTATATTTTCTATTTTTATGTTTTATGTATGTACCCTTTTT